TGATTAAATCATCTGTGATCATATCAGCATTTTCTGTTAATAACCCATGCTTTCACAGATATACAGTATTGAGTATACAGTAAATATATATAGATATACATGAACATTTGTATGCTAAGTGACGGAAGGTAGATGCTAAGGTGCTCTGGAAGATATGATTATTTTTCCTCTTGAGGAAGATGGTCCTTAAAGCTTGCAAAATCAATCTATCTCAGCAACTTAAAGGGAACTTGAATAAAAAAAAGTTATGATACTGAAGTGAATACGTACCATGTCCCCTATCACACTTTTTTCCATCAAGACAATGTATGAAAAAAAATATAATAATATATACATATATATACCTGCATTGCATGTCTCACACTGATCTATAACCTTGATAAAAAAAAAAAAAGTACCGGGAAGAAATAAAAAAGGACTGTTAGACCTTGCTACACACGGTAAATATAGCAATGCAAAGGCCCTTTACATCACACAGCCATGTGAGAAATAACGATCCAATGCTTTCCTGTTTAATAAGTTCATATCACCTTCCCTGTTCCCACACCAAGCATTGTTCCTACAGAAAATGCCATAATATACATGTTGAGCATATAAAGTTCATCTACGGTAATGTTGCTAGAGTCCCCCAGCACGTGCTTCCGGTACATTTTTCTCGCCGAGTCAAATTTCTTGCTAAACCACCAGTCGGCCTTTTGTTCTGCTTGCCCAAGTTTGCGGTCTAACTTTTCAGCTGCCTTTTCAAGCTTTCTATCTAGGCGACGTGCTGCATCTTTCATTGTGCTCTGTGGTTGGAGAGGAGAGGAAAGATTAATTAAGGAAAGTGAAAAAATGTTATGAGCTTTCCTGATGTTAGTGCTGAAAAATCCTCACATACTGTTACAGCACATAACTAGGTCTTATCTATTTTGAAGGGACTAAATATGACTTAAAAAAAAATCATCAAAACATATATGCACAAAACTAACACCAAATGGTTTCTATTAACTTAAGTCTGTGAAGAGCATATCAAATTCAATGACATGCAGTTCATGTAACTTCTGTCTGCTCATTAATGCCATTATCAAAAATGAAGCTAAAATAATTCAGTTAAGAGTCATACTGCAATAGATTTTTTTATTTAAAAATGGAAGAAAATACTAATCATATCTTTTGCACAGAATAAACTGTGCAAATTATATACTCAAAAAATAGGTCAAAGCTTAAATTACTGATCTGTAGTTCATCTGATAACAAACTATTTCTTCATGTCTGACAAAAACTTTTCCTTGAGATGTTACCCAAACATTAAATTTCATTCAAGTGATTCACACTGATATATATGCATACCATTGTACTGTCATTAAGTAATAGTGCTGATATCATAGGTCAAACCATGTTGTCAATTTACTCCAAAACAAGAAGGGTATAATAATGATTGTATTATTTTAACATTATGCAATTGGAAAATATCAACCGAAGACACACACTACTTTAGAAACATAGCTCACGTGCATTTAAGTAGCTTCATATTATTTTCCATTTGATCATCAGAACTTGAAAGCATATGAGAAATACCACTTTTCTTAGAAGTTAGATACTGGTCCTACTTCAGAATTTTCTGAAGTACAATTCAAATTTCAGACATTTGCATGCATTTAAAACATTATGAAGGACATGAGAGCATGCATGTGCAAACATACAACACGAAAAAATAAAACAACACTCATATCAAGACACTACAGAAAATTAGGATAAATAAATGAACTAAAAATTAAAAGACGAAGAAGAAAAAAATGAATTGCCTAAAATAAAACTAAACTTAAACAACCACACCATTACTCTGAATATAAGAACTCCATGAAAATTATCATAAAGCATTCCTTTTCACTCTCTATCAGAATCTATCAGAGTTAGTAATCATATTATACAGAGATTATTAGTTAGTTTGTTTGAATTTTGAAAGCAATAAAAGGGGAATGAAGGAGACCCATGTGAGAGCGTCCTACCTTGATACTGTTACTCCTTATCTGTTAGAAGAGGAAAATATAGACAGTTTGGAAACACAGAAAGGGGGGAAGAAGGGGCTCATTTCCTTGCCGAAAAAATCATTTTAAAAAATAACAGAAAGTAAAAGAAAAATCAAAATCAAAACTGTCTACACTTTCTCTCTCTCTCTCACTCTCTTTCTCTCAAAAGTTCAGGTAAGCTGCCATAGGGAACCATTTTTGTGGGCTTTTCGGTAACTTACAACTGACTTAAGAGGTAATGTGATACGAGACTTTCTCTTTTTGACTTACAACTGACTTAAGAGGTAGTGCTGTACAAGACTTTCTCTTTTTGACTTACAACTGATTTAGGAGGAGGCTATACCCAACAGGACTCCTCCACCAAAGCTTGAGGCCAACACTATGTTCTCGCGGGCAAAACGCACCGCCTGAAAAGATGGAGTTCTTACACTCAACCCTCTTGCACGGAAATACACACAAAAAATAAAAGTTACCTATAAAAAAATGTAATCAGACTGGAACAACAATAATTAAAATAATGCCATCCATGCACTTTAAATACACTCTATTATCTTTCTTTCTTTTTAATTCTTAAAAAATTATCTGACAATTTCAAAGTCAATAAAATCTTTTACTACAGACTTTGAAAACTTAAAAATACAGGACAAATCTTAGCAGTAAGTACAACTACAACAATCTTACTGGACAAATAAATAAATACATAACAGCTTCAAATTAACCAACAGGACACTAAAAATTGATAACAACTGAATTTCAGATTTTTCTCACTTTCATTCCAATAACGAAAAAAAGAAGAAAAAAAAAAAGTAAACAATTTTGTATTCTATAAACTCTAATTGAGTATATATATTTCCGAAAATTCAAGAAACCTTAATCTTAACAATATCCTATTCTTAAACCATACGCACACACGTACAAATCATAAAATAAGCAACATGGAAATACTGGTAAAGCTCTAAATCCAAAATCATTGAACAAGAACACATTGCGAGTGAAGACGAATGGAAATTGATACTAACAATAGCGCTACGAGGGGAAACATTCCTCATAAGAGAAAAACTTTATTGGGAAAAATTACTCTATTAATCAATTTTATTCTTTGTTTAAGCTTCATCACTTCTGGAACTAAATGTTAATGTTAGATATAATGTTTTAAGGAAATTTTGACTTTTGAGAAGAAAGAACAATTATTGAAATAAAAATAGTTTTAATACTTAAAAAAAATAAATAAATAAAAAAAAAATAAAAAAATAAATAAAATAAAGGCTTTCTTTTTAAGTTTTCAAATCATGCATTAATCAACATAATCAATAGTACCCTTGAGGAACACATTGATATGCAGTATGTGACACTATGGTTAAAAGAAAAATGAAGAAAGGAAAGAAAAGAAAAGAAAAGGAAGAATAAAAAGCCCTTTCTTATAGTTTAGCTAAATTCTTTGGGGGCGAGTTCATCATTAATTGGTCCAATAAGAATCCTCAACAATCATTCTCGATTCACTACTCTGATTTTTTGTGCCAAAATAATTCAATTTGCATTCTATCTCCACTATTTCTCTCTCCATAAACCTACACATACACCCACACCCACCCACCCCACCACCCACCCACCCACACCCACACACAAAGTACACATAGGCCTGTAAAGGTAATCATAGCAACAGACACAAACCTACACAACAAAAAATTTACAGTTAAAAGAGCCCAAAATTCCCCACCACAAATAATTATACTCTGTCAATACTCATCATGTAATCAATTGTAATTATCTGGTGCTTCCCATTTCCAAACCATTAGAAACTATACACATTTTCACACATTAAAACTTATATTCTTATTTCATGGGTACACTGTGTGGCTTTTGTGTTTGGAATACCCGGGAATGATATAATTTTAGAAGTAGTACCCTGAAGAAAAATATTCAGGAAAAAAGAAAAACTATCATCAAAAAGCTAAAATCAGTAAAATGATATGCTTAGAACTAAGAAAAAATAACAATATTCAAATCAGTACCAATAAAAATATGAATACGAATAAAAATACAAATCAAAAGTAGAAAATCAAGAAACACACCAAAATCTAAAACCAGACCAGAGTCCAAGTTCAACCAGGCAAACTGTTCCCGCTAAGATCGAAAATTGAATTGTTTTTATTTTTAGTGATTATTCTCACAATAAATTCTTCCTGGCAATGTAAAACTCAGCTGAAGCCTTGAAGGAGAAGTTAATGACCAATTGTAGCAAGAATCCAACATTAATAATACTAGCGGTGGTAGCATGACACCTCAATTCAGTCCCTAAAACTAACATTTCAATCTACATGATTCAGAGATGATAGTGGATGGGGGAGGGTCGGGTGGGATCTACCTCCTATCTCTTTGAAGAAGAAGAAGAAGGAAGAAGAAGAAGATATAGAAGAAGAAGAAGAAGATACAGAAGAAGAAGAAGAGGAAGAAGAAGAAGGGGGGATCTACTTCCTATTTCTTAAAAAAGAAAAGAAATCCTATCTCTTTGAAAAAGAAGAAGATGGAAGAAGAAGAAGAAGAAGAAGGAAGAGGAAGATATAGAAGAAGAAGAAGAAGAAGAGAAGAAAGAATGAAGAAGAAGAAGAAGAAGAGGAAGAATAAGAAGGAAGAGGAAGATATAGAAGAAGAAGAAGAGGAAGAGAAGAAGGAAGGGGAAGATATAGAAGAAGAAGAAGAAGAAGAAGAGAGAAGGAAGAGGAAGATATAGAAGAAGAAGAAGAAGAGGAGAAAAGAAGAAGGAGGAAGAGAAGAAGGAAGAGGAAGAATAGAAGAAGAAGAAGAGGAAGAGGAAGAAGGAAGGGGAAGATATAGAAGAAGAAGAAGAAGAAGAGAAGAAGAAGAAGAAGAAGAAGAAGAAGAGGAAGAAGGAAAGAAGAAGAGAGGAAGAGGAAGAAGAAGAAGGGGATCTACTTCCTATCTCTTAAAAAGGAAGAAAATGAAAAACATTAACAAAGACACAAAACAGACACACATACACACAAGCCAACAAAATGCATTCTTTCAAAGACAAAAATCATATCATACATGCAAAAAACCAACAACAAATCACACACCCATAAAAAAATAAATAAATAAATAAATAAACTACATAAAAAATACTCCAAATATAATCACATCATAAAAATAAAGGAATAACTTCAAGATTTATACACATGTAATAACAGAATGATAAACTTATAAATAAATCAAAACAATATAGAATTTAATAAAAACAAAACAATAAAGAATCTAATTTCACAAAATAACAAAAATCGAATATATAAATAACAAACGATCAAGTAAAAATGAAACAATAAAGAATGGAAATAAAACACATAAATAAACCGAAGGTCCATTCTCACCTGATCTGCTGCACTGCCGTTTACGTTGGATTCCACTTCCCGTTTCAGCTTCTTGGCGTTCTTCTCGAGGTCTTTGTTGAGGCGGTTCCAGTCGACCTGTGAAGGATACCGAGACTGGTTTGAGGATTGTGGAGGAGGAGAGGAGGAGAGGAGAAGGATAAAACAAAGTAGGTGGAGGAGGAGTGGAGAAAAGATGAAGAAAATGAAGAAGAGGAGGAAGAAATATAAGAGGAGAATGGACAAAAGGATTATGAGGAATAGGAGGAATAAAATAATAATAATAGCAATATCAATAACAATAATAATGATAATAATGGTAACAATAATAACAATAATACTAGTAATGATAAAAAAAAGAAAGAAAAGGAAGAGTGACAGGAACAATAAATACAAGAATAGCAATAATAAGTCTGGTTTAACACAATATTAGCTCATTCCAATGAGACCATAACTGACATATGATGCAAACAGAAATATGAAAAAAAAACATCATTATTCTTTTACTTCTAAATCTTCATCATTACAACACGATATATATCAGCAATGTACAGTTCTTGTAGCAAAAGCATATGTCATGTTAATCAATATGAATAAATGCAGATCCCATTTTGACGTGAATGAACCCGTTGGATTAATCCCAGAACACATGAAAAAATTTTGGCTGAGGGCCAGGTGATGCGAGTACGCTGTCATGAAAGAATTTGGCTGAGGGGCGCACGCTGTCATGAGAATTTTGGCTGTAGGCCAGGGTGACAGGAATGATTCTCCCTGAGAACACAAAGCTCTTGGAGGGTGATTAGACTCAGTGGACATTTAGGATGGGGCTCTTACAATATTTCCATTGGTAAATGAGTGTGGAGTGTACTATCTACTAGCCATGGCATGAGTGGAAGAGCACTAGCTCCAGGGTGGAACAATTTTCCCATGCCCTAGATTCTACTTGTTCCTGTCATGACTAGGGGTAAGGGTGCAATGCAAAAAATTCAACAAAGGTGTATTACAGAAAACTTAATATTACAAAAAAGACACACAACAAAATTTATTTAATGTTACTGAAATTGCAGAGTTATGGACTATCTACAGAGATGATATGAAGTCAATGTAATAAAACCAGTCTATTACCTATACAACCTCAATTGACAAATATAAACATTTGAAAATTGCAAAAAATGCTTGTACAGAAAGAGATAATAACACTGCAAAGGGGAGGCATGGAGTCTTGATAATGCACACGATAGTTCCGGTGGGCTTGGGATTATAAGCCACACCTAGGAGAGTCGCCACTAAAGTAAACCTAATGCTTGGATCTTGGGACCACATGCGAGGCATCTGGATCCAATGGGTTAAATAACTGTGGCTTTATTACAATTGAATGCAAAAGACAAAACAAATATTCACAGAAAGAAAACAGAAAGAAAAGAAATTAGAAACAGGAAGAAAGGAGATAAAGAAAAAATAATGTTCTACGTATCACAACCATCAAATCATATTAATGTGTCTACATCTCTTTAAATCAAAGAAAAGCAGAGAAAAGGACCTACTTTGATGTATCCTTTGTGAGCTGCCAGCTGCATAATGATCATGCTTCCTCCTACGACAGTTGCAGCCACCTTCCCTACTTTCATGGACAGGTAACAACGACCCGCGATGAAAAAAATGAGTGATTGGCTTTTCTTTTTCCTCACCTTCACAACAGACTTGGATATTGTCTCCATTCCTGGTGCAGTCGTATGTGCAGGTTCCAGTATTAGGGCTGTTGCATGATTTACAAAGTTCTTATATATCTCTTAAAAGTTATATAAATAATATAATTATCTTATGAATCATATCATTGTCATATAGTACTTTTTAATACATGATTTACAGACATCACCATTAGCAATAAAAATAGACGTGGTAGATCCTTGCTTTTTACTATGTATTTTAATTATCTACTCAACTATCAATGTTGCCTTGAATATACCAAAACATTCATAATAGATTTTCTCTGACCTTGAGATTTGGAAAAAAAAACTGGATGTCCAAATGATGAGCCTCAACCTGATAAAATCCTTATGCAGGTGATGCTGCATAGCATGCCTTAACAAGACAGTGGGAAACAATGCTATTCACTTATTTACCTCCATAGTCTTAACACTTTCTGCCCTTCCTTTTCTTCACTCTAGCCTCAAGTCTGAAAATTTGACCATGAATGAAGTGTGCATGTCACTCTACACAAACTTCCTCTGAGGGCATTTGTGTCTCCAATATGAGTAACTAGATCTCTACATACATTTTTACCCAGCACTGTCATCAGTCAGTGATTACTATTTAATTCAGAGTTTCTGTACATCAGAATTTATCAGGCATATACGTTTTTCCTCCTCTCTGGCAAGTTATGCTTTTGTGCTTTTCCATACTTCCAATTTCTCATCCAGCTTCCTGATCTTTGGGTACGTTTGCCTAAATGACAGCTGGTCTCTTGCCCTTGCTATCGGTTAGTATGCAGTAGGAGAGGGTTCTCCAGGTCTTCCAAGGGAGTATCTGTGAGTCTGTAGAAGTGTCGTTTGAGACCCTTTGTGTTAGGTATTATCAAGATATGTCATTTGGGCAAGGTCCCTTTTACTCCTTACTGTGTCATGAGGGACAAGTAATATACCATCTTATATTCTGATGCTGATAAGCTGGTCAGTGGGCTTCAACATATGTCTTTTTCTTAGCTAGGTTGTTTTAGGCATTGATTTTAGGTTACACTCTGATATAGCTTCCTATCATACTATTCTCTTCCCTTGACTGCCTCCTTGATTCCAGTGTGAGGAGTGTCATGTTGCCGCACCTCGATGTCAAGGAGCAGCACATTCTAAGATTCATTCCTCTATAAACCACATTGAAGGTTTTCCCTTCTCTCCTTGGTATCTAAAATTTCAGAGATTGTTTCTCTTGTCCTGTGTGCTTTCTTAGACCACACAGTCCTCTAGTTATACACGTCTTTATTACATTAACTGTTTTGGTGTTCCATGGCATAAATGTGTTACAGGCACAGTTCAGGATTCAAGCTTTTTATATAAAATACATTTAAAGTCCTCATCGTTATTTCTGATATACTGCATGACCTCTTACAGATAAGAGTTCAGTCTGGAGATCATACATTTATGTGTCTTGTCTTACTTGTTTGCATGAATCACACTGCTATACATCTTCAATGTTTCTGTGGTTTGTGGCAGTGGCTATGTCAAAAGTCTCTTTCCCCCACCATCCTTTGCCTGTTCCTAGATGTCTCTGTCCAGTCACTTTTTGCTGATATATTTACTTAATGTGTGGAAGATTCTTGTCATGCTGTGTCTGGTTGCAGCAGCAAGATCAATTCTTGTTTCAATTACAATCATCAGTGGGTGGCTATGTTCCTTGCAACTATTTTTCTCCTTTCACTTGGCCACGATATAACAAGAGGGTAACTGAACTGGCCATTTTGACCAATTCTCACATTTCTCTGTCATTAATCTCACGTGGTTCTTGGAGCTGGCCAATAGGGTTGTTCAGGACCATATCTTGTAAAGCACCTCAAGATGTAACCTGCATAGCTATGACATTGGCCATAAAATTATTTGTCAGCATTTACCACATGTAAAATTAACACAATATGCACTTATGTTCTGCAAGCACAGTTTGCTACCTTACAGCCACAATTTGTCAATTTAATTGGCGCTGCTGAGATTCTTTAGCCATGAGTATATTCCAAAGGTTCCCTCATTGTTCCCAGCATGCACTCACTGAAGTGTACATTTATTTTTTTTCCCATATGGATTCAGGGGAGTTCAATGATTAGAATTCTTTGTGTTCGCTGTCTTGGTAAACATGCTATGCTGCTCTACGTGCATTATGAATTCTCAAATAGTTTTGGTTTGTTCAAGCCCATTGCTTTGAAGTGTCAGACCTCATTGACAGAGGAACTGAGCTTGCCATCTGTCAAATTCATTGCATAAGTCATGTATTTATTTAGAGTTATATAAAACAAAAAATATGTGGCCATTTAAGGCCACCATACCTTCAGATTGGAACATATGTTGACTAATCCTTCACCATGGAATACAAATATTCTCCTTCTTCTCCCTCATACGTACACACTTAAATGCACACGCACGCACACACACACACACACACAACAACACACACACACACACACACACACACACACACACACACACACACACACACACACAATGCCAATTATATATCTAGAACAACTAAATATCTACTGCTCTTGGTGAAAATCTGTACTTCTTCACTTAGTCCTAAAACCACAACAGAACAAGGGGCTAATCTACCCGCAAACACACTAACCATCCTGACACACCACCAACAACCACTTGCTTGGTCACTGGTTCCCTGGTCAAGTCCTGCACAAATTGCTGGATCCACGACATCTTGGAGCGCGCTGTGCCTCTTACGTCAAGGACCTCAAACTCTTCCTCAGCGGGGTTTAGGGGCTTGGCCTGAGTCGCTCCTCCCATAGCACAACTTACACTAAGGCGGGATTACTGCGTCTGAAGCAAAGAAGATATCATTAGTTCATTTATATAGATACAGAAATGGGAAAAACCAATATGTCTCCATCATTATCCAAGTCAATTCATTTGTAACAAAGAAATACATTAAATAAAAGAAAGACAAAGAAAAAAATATTTTCCTCGTTCTCATTATATTACCTATTCCTTTTCATTCAGTTTGCAAAATCATATCTCTCCTTTTTTCATAGTCATCTGAGGATCTATTTATCTATTTTAAACATTTAGCTCTAGCCTGTTCACCCTATAAACGGTGATCTACTAAGCATAAAATCCTGAACTTTTTCCAAAATGCCCAGGTGAGAGAAATAGGGAATTATTCTCTTAAAGATTTTCACAATAGCTGAACTATGGGAATCAATTGGAATCATCACAAATTCTTAACATAGACAATTATTACCAATAAAAGCTAATATACTGTACATCATGACCAGACTTCAGTGTAGATAAAGTACTGTGCAGGAGAGACTATGCCCAAACATCTTCAATTTATCTTAAAAAGTTATCTTATCACTTCCTTCACAGGTGATAAATACAGACACGAGCCTAATTAACACTTACATACAACCTTAAGTACATCCACTCTCGCGGAATCACGGTTGACAAGATACAAATTCCTTCCACCACTTTCACTTTTTCTCCTAGGCTATCTCTGTACAGAGTTATAGGCCTACAACAAGAGAAGGTCCACTCAGTGTTCCTTCTTCCCTGTTGTCCCAAGGCTGGTGTTAGATTAATGTAATTTACTTTAGGTTACGGACTAGATACCTAAGGACAAGGAACACGGGTACATGTCCTACCAGTGTTGGTTCTTGTAATCACACATAAAAGTATTTTTCTATCTGATCGTGATGGCATGTACAGTATTCAAAGATTTTTCTTATGCATAATCTTCATTTTCAGACTCAAATTAGTGAATAACACCACCGGGAATGACATGATAATGATAACCCCCTACTTCTCATTTCCTCCACCCTGGACTTATTATATGCTGGTTTCTTTACTTTTCTTTTTTCCTCTCATGAGAAAAATCTTTTATCCAGATAACTATATATAGGGTGAATAAAACCAGAATATATACACAGACACAACCCTCCCCCCCACCCACCCACCCACCCACCCACCCACACACACACACATATATATATATATATATATATATTATATATATATATATATAATATATATATATATATATATATATATATATATATATATGATGTGAAAAAAAAAAAGTAAATTCACTTAAAACTTGTTCTGACCTGAAATGGACACGTTGGAAATTTTCTGGCAAAGCTGACAGTAACACATTAACAAATGATCATCTCCACTCCTGCTAAGGCCGCAAACTTCCACCACACACATTTGGGCGACATAGAGCTTGGATATTTAAGCTGGCAAGACCTCAGGGAGATCAACAAAGTCTACCTTGTCAATATTACATGGAGGTTTAGCCTTTACTGGAGCACCGAGAGGCATAGAGGCCACAGCCAGTCATAGAGGTACAACAAGCAGTAAATGTTTTTTTTTTTTTAATTACCACTATGATTAGTGTTCCTAAAAATATATACAATCATTAGTATCATTATCGGCATATACATAGAAGACTATAATTTGTACATTTCTAGAACTAACTTTTTAAAAATCAACTTTCGCTTTAAAATCCCCCCGTCCCCATCAATACAAATCCAGGACTCAAATCTTTATAAAAGAAGCAAACTGACCGGTTGTTGAAGAATCTATGTATAAATGACAAAATTCTAACATCTCAATTTCTGGTCAAAGCAAACGGTCTAAATGAATAAAATAACTCCATGACTCAATAAATAAAGCTAAAATACCCTTTAAATAAATCACAAAAGTAATTTTCAACCCATAAACTGCCACTAATGAGGGGGGGGGGAGGGGTTATCATAAATATAATTCTGAAGAAGTTAATGGGAAGTTTACGATCCTTCATAAATGAACAATAAATATGGTTCTATAGGTCATTATCTCTCCAGTGTGCTTGAAATAGTTGAATCTTTTGCTTGCATTCAACGACACTTCGGACACCTTTTACAGAGTTCCAACATCATGCCCGTCATATCAGAGTTCAGCTGTATGAACAGCAGCCATTCAGAGCAGATCAGGACTCTGCCGCCAGCCCCATGGTGGTGGACCTCTATCGAAAACAAGTGTATCTCCTGAACACCAGAGAGGCTTGAACTCACCAAACGAGAAAAGTACTCTACTGCCTGAGCCCACCGAGCCATTGAACATGTCAATGTCCACAGATCTGTGCCTTGGTGCTTCAGCAAAAGCAAACAACCTGTTTACCAATTTCGAACGAACGAACTGGAAATGCGGAGGAGACGGAATTATCTCATGATCTGAACCATTATCCAATTTAGAAATTATACAAATGGATACAACTTGCTTATTGTTCCATCTTCTCCAGTTTAGCTTATACATATACATATAAGCAAAAATAATACTTTATTCTCCATCACTTCACAATCATTGACCAATTTCTACTCCAAAGTATTAAGATGACAAACATTTATTGACAATTATCTGCTACTCAGTCTCGGTGAACTCCT